CAGTTTGAATTTATACAGTGACACTTTGAGTCAAGACAAAACAAAACAAAATGAAACAAAACAAAGTGGAAACCAGGGAAATAACATTTTAAACATTTCCTTGGGTAATGTGTAGCCTGTGCTGAAAATGAGACACACTTTGGGGCAATAGAAGCAGATTTTTCATTCTCATTTTCTTTTCATCTACATTAATTCATAGCAGCAAAATTTGCTAGCTATACTTGAACAATTGTCTCAATTTGAATTTTGAATAAATAATTTTAATCCTTGATGGAATAATATACAATTGATCCTAGAAGTTTCATGAAATGATGTAATTTTTGTATATTCCTATAGAATAATTTACATGCTGGGAAAATCTCTTTATTAACCATATTAGCAAATGCTAAGTATTTCACTGATTTTAACTGGATCCTTTTGTGCAATTAATTTTCTAGGCCGTATTGGTAATTCATGGTCTAATTTCACGTAGGCAATACTAAAGGCTACTGAGTATGCCTGAAGGTATTATAGGACTACAATCAAAGAATGTTATGGTTGGTGCATTGTGTCAACCTGAGCAATTTAGAAGTTTAACAGAGAGACTCCTTAGGGAGTCAGGGTTCTTACTTTGTAAATATCCTCACCTGCGTAGGAGGGGAGGCAAATCTTGTGAGGGCTACACCCAACCTGAAAGGGTGCAGGGGGTGGCTTGTGTACAATATGAGAGAGAAAAAGAGGCTTGTTCCCCCCTTTTGTTCTGGCTGTTGCCTTGAACTCTTGCATCTCTGCTGTGCTACCCTGCCTCGGAACCAGCTGATTATGAATTGAAACCTCCACAAACTGTAAGCTAAATAAACCTTTCCTTGCTTTGCTTCAGGCGTCAGGTATTTCATATAAGCAACAAGAGAAAAGTAACCAAGACAAAGAGCCTACTTTCTTCTATTATGAAATAAGGAAAATTTATTCATTAGTTGAACTGAGAAATCCAAAATACTATACAATTAAAAATTATATTCACACACTGTCTGAGGATCTGTATATGTGGATTTATTGGTGAGCACATAGATAGAGCTACTTAGAAGGGTATCCCTAGTCCCATGTATTAAATAAGACTGACACTGGATTTTCTCTCATGAAACAATGGAGAAGGGGGTGCCTTTTGGTACAAGGAGATTCTCTTCATGGTTGTCAATTCCATGCAAAGGGAGGAGAGGAAGGGCAAGTTCATGTCTATTCACTGTCATCAGAGAAACAGAGCCCTGTGCACCCACCCAGCTGTACAGAAGATGGGAAATGCAATCTGCATCTGGAAGCCAGGTGTCCAGCTGAAACCAAATGCTTCCCCACCCTCTGTGAGAGCCCACACTGTCCCTTGGGTGCTGATGTTGGGCCTCCATCTACACTGATATGGGTCACACCTACCCATAGAAGTAGAATTGGTCAGCCTCTTGGGATTAACTCTGCTCCTCTTTCTGACATGAAAATGTCTCTTCTCTTTCTCAGTGGAACTTTTCCAGTCTTTTTGCTCACACAGCACTTGAACCTTGTTCTTATATATGATCTACACATCCTTATGTGTTTGGGTGGGACATACAATGTGCCTTGTGATAAAGAAGCCAAAAATGCAAGATACACTCTCTATGTTTCCTTGCAACTAGAGCCTAGATACTTAGTATAAGCTCTGCTTTAAATTCAGAATTGAGAGCTGGCTGTACAATGAAGCTGGGTTCTTGGAGAGCCCTGGCAGCAGTGAGAGGTGATCAGTTTCCTAGGGGAGCTGGCTTTACCTGTGTGATTGACAGCATCTGGAGTTATTGCCAGAGGGTCATTAGTTCCAGCCATGTATTGAGTGCTGAATAAGAGTGCCATTAAATTCCAGGCTGAAGTTGCTGCACATTAAGCCATGTTTTTTTAAAGGCTTCAGCACAAACTCATTTTTTAGGAAACCAGTTCACTACAGTTTCGCTAACATCATCGTGGAATTTTTTAAACCTTCAGCAGCAATCTTGGCGCTCTGATATATGTCTTTCTGGGGAAATTTTGGCAGAAGTAAGAAAAATTTATTCCTCCACTGAATATGATTAACTCAGAATAATGCCATTAGGAACACAAGTTGTCAGAGATGCTTTGAGGGTTTTTAGGCATGGAGAGTAAGGAGACAATACAGCATTTGCCTGACTTACATTTTGAGACGGGAAGGGCCTACTTGTCAATGCTGCTCCTGTGCTTAAAATTTTCAGGGGCTCAGCACTGAAGCGAAGTGGAATCCAGTCTCAGCCACTTCTATAAGTTTGAACAAGCATGATTAACTTATTTTTTTCTGTATATTTCCTCTCTTTATTTTTTTACAAATATATTTAAAAGTCATGAAGAGTTTGTAATATCGATCTTAAAGATATTTGTGCTGTGTATAATATATAACGTGTGAGAAGCTAGCATTCAGCAAAACAAACACCATCCCTCTCACTCCAGCATTGAGAGCCTTCACATGGGGTCCCAACCCACATTTTTGGTCTCTCTTCTTACCATTCTTCTCCTCTTTCCTCTCTTCCAATGGTTCCATATTTTTAAAATCAGAAATTAACATGACATAAACAACCCTATAGTTCCTTCCATGTTCCTGCAGCCTAGAATGTGTTGGCCCCACGCCCCGCTCTGATCTATCTCACTTTCCCCACACCTCTCCACACCCTCACAGGCTGCTGACTTCCCTCCAGGGAGAAATGCAGCACCGGTCATATCACTGCCCTGGCCATCTAGCACAGGGGCTACCTTTTGTCTCTCTTACAGGTGACATATAGGTCAGATTTCATTCATTCTCATGTTTGCCCATTGCCTGGCTCGTAAGATGTGCTCTATGAATATTTGGATTAATCACTGAGTAAGCAACATGAGTTAAGAAACCACCATTTGTATTTATTTGGGACCAACAAAGAAGTAGCCACTGCTCTGGGAATAGTAAAGACTGTCACCTAAAACTGACAATGCCATGAAGATCTACACAAATATGGAAACTCATCTGGAGGAAATGGAATGACCGCCTGGCAGGGAGAGTCTACAGAAACCAATCTGACACTACCCGGCTTTGAAAGAATGTAAAGAAGGGTGGGTTCCCTCTAGCAAGTTTAGAAAAATAAAGGCCCCTGAATGCAATCAAGGCGCTGTCAGATCATTTCAGAGCACTTTCGGGGGAGGGTGCTGGGCTCCGCCGTGTCTGCACCCTCTCTAAGGTTTCTTGGGGAGCTTCATAGCTGTGTCATTTTGTTTCAGCCTGGTGGTATTTAGCACCAAGTTGGTTTCCTCTGTTCCATTATGCTTCCCACATAGCCTTTCACTCTTGTTCTTTCCTGTTATGATTAAAAATTCGTTACCAATTACAACATCTTCCCAAATGGAACTGTAAAGACTCCGATGAGGAACTACAGCAAGAAATTTCTGAATATTTAAAGCTGAAGACCAAGTTCAGCCGGCTTGCCTTTAAGTCACATTTCTAGACCACTTTTGTTTGCAAGGTGCACCAGTGTCCATACCTGGTGCATTAAAAGGGTTGACAGAATTTAAAAGAAAATCCAACCTCCTACCTCTGACTTACAGAACTTCTGTCATGAGCATTGCTGAGATATTCTTATTGTTCTCTTTCAAAAGTTGTGAGTTAACGTGCATAAGGAGTTATAAGACTTAGAAACAATGGCTGACAGCACACATGAGCTCATGAGTCTGGAGTCATTAGATTTTGGTTGTAATGATCAGAGACTCATCCAGGTGACCTCAGCATGGGCGGGTGTGTTGTGAAGACACTATGGCACTTAAGAGGAAGAAACATCACAGGTATCTTGAAGGCCTGGTTGGCAATAGGAAGGTAAAGGTCCAAGCATTGGGCAGGAAGATTATCACTTTGCCCCTCAGGTTCTGGAAGGCAGATAATCCAGTCTGTGCTTCACACAATGGGGTGGAGCCCTCTCTCCTTTTATGCCTTTCTGTACATTCTTTCCTTTTCTTGTTCTAACCTGTTGGCCTCTCTTTCCCTAAATGTCTACATTTCCAGGAAGGCACAGTCAGATTGGACTTCCAGCCATCATGGCTCACATTCAGACAGAGCCTTGGCAACCTGCCTCCCTGGTCCCTGCTGACCCGGCCACGCCGACAGCCCTGGGTCTGGGTTGGTCCCAGCCACTCTCCTGTTGTGAGATGGGACATCTGTGTCATTAGGATGTAGTCGCCTGTGCCTCAAGAGATCCAAACAAGGACAGTTTGCCTCACAAACGAGATGTGAGCTGGTAGAAACCTACAGGTTAGTGGAACCAGGTAAATAACGTGAAGAACCATGGAATCCAAATGTAGGTACATGGATGGGCTTGGTCAGAACCTCCTGAGAGCCTTCTGAAAATACAGACTTCTGCGTCTCACACCAGATTTGCTAAATTAAAATCCCAGAGGGAAAGGCTACACACACACACACACACACACACACACACACACTCATACACACTGTTTAAAAATCTCAGGTAAACAGAGCTCTAACCTCATGAGGAAGCAGACAGGCAGGTGAGGAATGCAAAGCGTCAGATTAACTCAGTAAAAATGTAGGGGAACTCCAATGTGCCCTCGTAAAAAAGGAAAAGCACATTGGTATAAAAAAATGATGAAGTGAAATAGACTTCTTCATGGAATTAAAAATGTGAGGAATATGTTTTCCTGTAGCTTCTAGGATACACACAAGTGAACCCAAGATTGGCAAACACCAACGTCAAATTCAAATATCACAAATTGTTGGCATACTTCATTTTTTCTCACTTATAACAGGTATATTTAGTGAAATATCACAACTAACACACAAAATAAATTTTTCAAAATGCTGAGTTACAAATAACATTTCCACAAAATGATTTATGGATCCTTTTCCTTTTGATGGGCAAAAGCTAATGAACTATTTGATAATGTTTTAAAGAAAGAGTTACCTATCATGAGTGTAGCCTAATAATACCACCAAAACAAATAAGCACACATTTCTTCTGGATATTATTCTTTATTACAAAACAAATATTTTATGTTGAGGTAACATTTCAAATGGTATTTAATAAAATTCATTGGTTCTTATATACAGAACTTTGCAACAAGTGAAGAGAGACCAGAGAACATTTTCCTGGCATTGCACATAAACCAATTTTAGAAAACATGGTGCTAATATTTCTGTAAGTAAAGGAGAATTTCTTTCTCTGCTGTCTCCTCCCCAGTCCTCTTACCATCACCAATGAGGCTGCTGTCATGGGAGCTCCACAAAAAAGTAACACTAAGTAAGATACATTAATTGGAAAAAAAGTGTTTTGTTTATCCAAAACACCTCATTGTGCCAATTCAAGTGCCATTAAAGTAAGTATTTCATCATGTGAGAGAGCCTACTGTTTATCTCCAGAGTAGATAGAATTTTCCTGCCTTCAAAGGAGAAATGCTCCTCCATCCTCCAGTTCCAGCCGTTTCTCCACCGTGTCCCACTAACTCTGGGGAAAGTTGGTCACCTCTTTCTGTCCTCCCACATGCTTCATTCCTGTCTTCCCCTTGGCCTTCACCACATGGATTGTAATGATTCCTGCTGTCCTCTATGCCGCTCTTTAACTCTGTGTCACTCTAGAACCTCCTCAGCAGCAAGAAGTGAGTTTAAAGCTTTGCTGTGTCCCTAGCACCTTGTACCATGCCTGGTGTACCCCAGAACTCCAGCAACCATCTGTCGGGTTCATGAGCTCAGAGCTCTTTCAGCAGCAGAGCAGTGAGGCACCTCTCTCCCTGCTTCCAAACTCATAGAATATACCCTGGTATACGCCCCCCCCCCACATTATTTGAACTTCTACAGAACGGTGCCGCTCTCGGAACCCTGCGGTATCCAGCAATTCCTTTCAGAAAGTAATAACTGGTCTTTCAGATCAAAATGTCAATAAATTACAGTTATGTTAATTTCCCTGTCCTCAAGCCCAGGACCCCTTTCTGTGAGAGCATGTCTTAGGGCAGCAGACGCTAGTAGCCATCCTGGCAGTCATTGTCATCTTGGTCCCCAATGGGCTTGTTGTGGTACAAGTCCACCGTCAGTTTCCTGCTCTCAGCCTCCATGTTTTTGGGCAGCCAGTCCTCCTCGCTGCTGGAGGTGCTCTCCGTGGAGTTGCTGTCCTCTTTTGACCAGCTGGCATCCTGAGAATTGCTGTCGGTGTCTTCCCTGGATGAGCTCTCCTGGCTCTGACTCTCTGTGGATGTGCTCCAGGACTGCAGGTCCTCCTGGCTAGAGCTATGGTCATCCTCAGAGGACTCCTGACTTTCCTCTGAGAGCCTGAGGCTCTCGTTGGACTCACTGTCAGCTTGCTGCTCTCTGGATTCGCTCTCGGAGCTGGAAAAGGTATTCAAGCTGTCCTCCTCACTGGAATCACTGTCTGGCTGGCTGGTGGCATCTGGGTTGTCACCCCTGGACTCAGCGGCCATCACCTCCTCCTGGGACTCACTGCTACTCTCCTGGGATGGGGTGTCCACCTCCTGGCTGGACTCACTGCTGGTGTCCTGCTCATCCTCATCCTCATGGGACTGACTCTCACTGGTGTCCTCTTGAGAGTCACTCTTGCTGTCTTCCTGGCCTGGGCTGTCCTCTTGGGAGTCAGTGCTGTCTGTGAGGTCACTCCTGAGGTCTTCAACCGTGTTGCTATCCTCCAGATCATCTCTGTCGTCTTCCTCAGAAATGCGAGATTTCCTGAAAAACTTCCTACTGGGAGACCCCACTGACTGTTTGTCACCTGAGTCCTGAGTGCCCTCCTGCTTAAGGACCCCTTGTGATTCCTTGGATTTGACACTGGTACTGTCCATTCTGGAGCTGCCTCCCTCCCTCCTGGTGCTGTCTGGATCATCATTCTGCATTCCGTTGTCATGAAACTCCAAGCCAGTCCCATGGCTGCTGTCCCCCTCACTGTCACCTCCCTCCCAGTGCTCTTCACTCTTACTGTCTACCCCATCTTCACCATCAAGTTCCCTGCTATCGCTGGCCAGATGTTCAGTGCTGTCCTCTCGGGAGGCACTGTCTTCTCTGGACTGTGTGGTATCAGCAGAATCCTCCCCACTGTCCAGTCTGGAGATGCCACCTTCTCGATCCTTTCTGGGCCCCAGACTATTGTCCTCATCACCAAAGGTGTCATCTCCACTGTCGTCCTCATCATCTTCCTTATCATCTCCTTCTCTCCCTGCGCTCCTAGCCAGACCACCAGCTGGTCTAGACACGTAGTGGTCATCATCAGAGGTCAAGTCTTCCGCAGTCTCCGGGCTGTCACTGAGGTCTTCATTTGCCTGGAGTTTGGGATACACAGACAGGGTCAGTGCCCCTGGGGCTGATATTCTGGGAGTCATCTAGGGCTTTCCCAGGCTCTTTCTGCTTACTCTTCCTGATTCCCACCTCTAACCCAGTCAGTGGTTCTGCTCAGTAACATCTCTGCCAGAGTTCTGCAGGAAGGGGGAGCAGTGAGGGGCCCACCAGCCACTCCCTCCTGATCACACTGAGGAACTGCTACCTCCCCTGAAGACTTGGGGAAGAGCAAGGCCACCCTACAGTGTCTTCACAGCAGAGCGACCCCCCATTCCGTGTTTGGAAATGTCTACACTGACAAATCTTTAGTAAACAGGGGTAAATGAGCTTCATCTTCCAGCTCAGGCTCTGCATAGAATGCAACGTGGACCAAGAAAACTTCAAAGAGAAACCACATCCTGAAATCCTTGGCGCCCCCACAGGGTACAGATTGGTCAAAGGGGTAGCACCATGTAGGGGAGGGTCTCAGGGGTAGAGCATGGCTCAGCATGCAGGAGGCCCTAGTTTTAATTTATAGCCCATGTTAAAAAAAACCTAAGAAAATAATGACATACAGTATAGTCTTCTTACAAAAAATGTTCTAATATTTTTTTTGTAACAGCATAAGCTAGCTAGGTCTGCCATCCTCACACCAGATCCACCAAAGGAGCTATTTTAAAGAGATACTGAGGGTTTCCATCCTGCTCCTCTCCTCTCCAATGGTATTCTCAACCTGGAGGTGCACCCCAGGGCCAGCAGGCACCTCACATTGGCAGAATAGTCCTTCTGAGGGCTGGGGATGTAGCTTAGTGATAGAGCACTTGCCTGTTATATGCCCCAGCATTGCAAGAAAACAATAGAAAAGTATAGTTTTCTTGTCTGCACTGAACTGATCTAGTTCTAAAATTATCATTTGAGGTAGCTCCTGAGTGAGCTGTGACTTTTCTTAGTCCATGCCATGTGTATGTGTGTGTGTGTGTGTGTGTGTGTGTGTGTGTGTGTGTGTGTGTGTGTAAGTGCATGCATGTGTACTAGGAGGACCATCAGAGGCTACAGTGACAAAAATAGTAATTTTTATTATTACCATGATAATTTTCTCATCCAATTATAAAAATAGAATGGACAGCATGTCCACATCTCAACTCTGCTCCCTCATTTCCCCTTTTTATTTTATGGGACAGTTTAGGCAACATAACCAGTGGTTAGAAAATATTATATTTAGAAATGGTGCCAGGTAATTTAATCCACCATCATTTCCTTCAATTCCTAAATAGCCAGAAAGTTAAGAAGGCTTAATTACCTGTTCCTCTGAGCTAACTTTACTTTCTTGTGATGACTCATTCCCCTGAAAGATTAAAAAAAAATGTTTATTTCCCTTTTAGTAATTCCTCAGCAGGAAAGCAAAGAATATGATATACATCAACAGCTGGAGTCTGCATGCGCTACTTTCAAAGTGGGAAAAGGTGCTGAAAAGGGTATCAAAGTCAGTTCAGGACAAAGATAAACACATAATTACCACAGATGGTGTTGGCGATGAAACCAGATGACCCTGTAAAAAAGGAAGAAAAACATGACATTTTCATAGATTATGTCACTGTAAATACAAAGAAAGACCTCAGTGCCTTTTAAATGTTTGTTTCATATTTTACATTTATCTGAGCTATAATATAGTCTTACAGTAAAATGACTAAACATTGAAGATATGAGGAAAAGCCTGAAAAGATCTCAGAATATGAAAGCTCTAAAAGATATCATCTCTCTGATATGACACAAAAATACCTGTGTACTTTCACTGAAAGTGGTTATTCTTACAACCTAGAGGAAATACAACAGACTGACACCATCAGAGCTCAGAGTCCAGATTAAAGTCTCAGGAAACTCGGTTTTGGCTTCAGTCTGTAAAGCCAGCTCAATGGAAGTTGATGTTCCGGGAAACCCGTGGGGCCCAGAGAAGCCAGAAGTGTCCCTTTGTCCATGTGAAGGTTGCAATTCACGCCACCTGTCAGTTTCTTACTCATAAATTAAGAAAAACAGATGCCATTATGTGCCACAGGCAAGACTGCCAGAAGAACCAATTAAATTCTATAACATATTTGAGCACCATTCGATGTGATGAGAACAAAGTAGACCATCTATTTCTAGGATATCTGCTTTATAAAATTCAACAGACAAAGCAGGATTAAGAGAGCCGTGAAACCTTTCCTGAATCACCGAACAGCATCAATAGTAAACACAAACACTAACTCCGAATTTTAACTACATAGTTACAGCTCTGATTTATTCACTTCCCTTACTCTCCCAAGAACTGTGCCCTTTCCCTGCAACCCACTACGTCCTCTCCCCTCGCCCTGGAGTGGAGCAAGGTCCTGGATGTGACCCAGGCACAGAGCGGAGCAGGGGAGCTGCCACCAACCTTCCTTCCACAAGCTGCTCAGCAGCAAGGGCTCCGGGGTCAGAAAAGGGATCTGTCATCACCTGTCATCACCTGTCTCCACCCTCATGCGGCAGGTGGCACAATGGCAGGCTGTGCTCCAGCAGCTATTCTGGCAAGAATATTCTGGAACAGGGCAAGACATTGCTTTGTTTCTTTTTTTTTTTTTTTTTTTTTTTTTTTTGTCTTTTTCTTTTTTATTGTTACCAGGGATCGAACTCATGACCACACACTTGCAAGACAGGTGCTTATGCCGCTGAGCTAAATCCCCAGCCCCAACATTGGTTTGTTTCTCATTCCAGGGTCAGACTAGGGAGACAGTGTGTCTGTGCGTCTCTGCTTAGACGGGATCATCTGTAGTAGCTGCTTTTAAATTACCCAGCCTAAGAGTCCTTCTGCTGAAAACTCATGACACATCCCGCAATGTCTCTTCTAGCCCGAGGAGGGCAGGACCCTACCCCAGACCTCTGACATTAACTAGTCACCATGAAAGGCTCGGGGTCGAGCTGTATCACATGTGCAGGAAAGCAAAATAGTGAACAAAATGCTTCAAGTTTGGCTCGAGATTTAAACTCTCACTTCAGATGCCAACCATGAGAATCCACAGACTTCTTAAGATGGAGCCTCCTACCTGAGAGCAAACGGTCAACTCAGTAAGAATGGACACTTGGCAGTCACAAGGATGAAATTCAAAGTCTGGCTCTAACACTTACTGACCATGTAACACAGACAGACTAGGGTCTGCTCTGTGCCTCAGTTTTTCATCTGCAAAATGGGAATAAAATATACCATCTAATCCATTAGGTTGTTGTGCAGATGAGAAATTTAATACATATAAAGCACTCAGGCTGTGTTATGTGAGTTCCTGAGTGCTAATAGCTATTGTGTTATCGAGGGGTCAACACTAAACAAACATTACGCCCTTCCCCAAACTCCAACATCCTCTCATATGACTTCCTTTTCTCACCTGCCAGGATCTCACTTCCTCCCTATGGGACATCACCTGTTGAAACAGAATTCAAGTCCAAATCTCTCATGGCCAGTCTCGATTCATTGACCTCCACTTTTGCACTACTATAAACATCCACTACTAGAAAAGAGCTAAAAGAAAGCATGCTTCCATGCCAAATTATACTACCATGTCGAAATTGCAGTATTTTCTTACACGAAATGAGAAACTGTAGGGTAGGCTGTAAATATGCTCCTACAGCCTATCAGGGTCCCATTTCTAAAGGACTCAGCCATGCTGCACTCATCAAATATGAAAAGGTCATATTTCCACTCACCGTCCATTCCTCAGAGCTCTCAGATGCCGTGTCCTGATACCTGGCCACCTGGAAAATTTAGCACACATGGTCAGTGCACGGGAAGGCAGCAGTTACTCCTGTGTTACACTCTTAGCAGCGGTCGTGAGTAACATGGGGCCTCGCTAAAACCCAGACTGTTAGGAGGCTGAGGCAGGACCAAGGCTTTCTGACTCTAACTGGCTCCTGATCATTGTTGACTCTGTGGCCCGGGGTGACACTCGGAGAACCCCTCCTCGTGAAGAGAAAAGTGAGAGTCGCAACTATACAAATGGCAACGGAACAGAACAAGAGTAGTTTGGGCATTTTGAAGAAAACAAGCTTCTTGAGAAAGGACCACAGTCAAGCCTCCGGTTACAAATGCTTGGGTTTACAAGCAATTTTGTTTGCAAACAAAAGCATTTGGCAAGATTGTGCTTCCTTTTGCAGACTGCACTGGGCGACAAACATGACCACAGCTGTCTCCCCCAGGCAAACCTAGACATCATCATCTTCTCCCAAATCATGAAACAAGTTAAGGTCCCGAGGTACACTGTATTTTCACAAGGCTGGAATATGCACACCCGCTTAGGTTCCCAGTCAACAAAAACTGTGTAGTTTAAACCACAGGAGGTTTCTACTGTGTGTGGGACCCTGACCTGCTACTTACTGGGAGGGCACAGGCCAGACCCCAGAGAAGCGCGAGCAGGATGACAGTCTTCATCACTGAGTGTGATGCCTCTACCTGCAGTGAAGACCACAGATGTGTTACCTCAGGTTGGAGAGATCAAAGGTTTGACTTTTAAGCTTCTTCCTGTTAAAAATTATTAAAACACCCAATTGATGAATGAATGGATAGAGAAAATGTCCCTTATCTGTGCAGCAGATTATTATTCAGCCGTAAAAAAGAACTAGGCATTGGCAGGGGTTACAAACTAGAGAAGCTTTGAAAACATTATGGTACGTGAAAGAAGCCAAGCACAAAGACTATATTCATATGAGCCCAGTCATATGCCATGTCTGAAACGTGCAAATGCACAGAGCTGCAGGGTAAGCTGGTGACCACGCAGGGCTTAGAAAGATGAGGGCTGAGTGGTGGTGAGGAGGTACAGGGTTTCTTTTAAAGGGAATGCAAATGTCCTAAACACAGTGGTGGAGGACATTGTACTTTTTCGTGATTTTACTAAATGCTATTATATTCCAAAGATGAGAAGTATGTGGAATTTAACTTGTATCTCAATAAAGCCACTTTCAAAATAAATGAAAGTAGCTTTCATTTCATTTCAAAGGTCACTGCTATGACATAAACTGGAGACTTCCACTGAGGTCCTCTATGAACACTCCCTCAGTAACACACCAAATACAGTGAGTGGGGGGAAAGGGAAGGGGCAGGGGAACTTCTGGCCATTCACTTTTATGATAGCCCCAAGCTTGGTGTGGAAGTGAAGCCTAACCAGTCTACTCCCCCCTACATGTTACACTTATTAACACCGTTACACTTATATAACACCATCGTTGATGGGCATGGGTATCTGTACACATACATACACACACAAACCGCCTTTGAATCACACTCATAACTGCAAAATAGTATCAATACAAAATTAATTGGTTTCGCACGTTTTTCTTCATGTTATGGCTGTAGAAAGCTCTCACCACGTACTGTAACACATGTAGTCATAAATTATACACGACTTTGCTAAATTCTCCTAAGTGTCATTCACACCCCTGAAGGATCAAGGGAAAATTAGAGATTTGGGATACACTTGTGAATCATGCGGAAAGAAACACTCCAAATCAAACTTCAGTTTGTTTGTTTTTCTGGAAGGTTTTTCTTCATTTCACACTTCAAGAACTGGTGGTTTCAACACAATTTGTTCTGTATCTAAATGTAGACCTAGTGACGCTAATTTGAAAGTTATCAAAGTGACTTAAAAGACAACCATCTGCCCTACATCCTGGAGTCTTTATTAGTGATCTAGTGTAATTGTCCAATGGATTTCCATATATTTTACAAAATATTCTTCAAATGCATTTCAAGCTTTACATTTGCTGACTTCTTTAAATATTAAATGTATGCTCCTAATGATGAAATTTAAGCCAAAGTTTCTCTGTCCTGGCTGTACATTAGTATTAGCTTCACCTGGAAAAAAAAATTTTAAAATACCAATGCACAAATTTCACCCCAGAATAATAAATTAATTTACTGAGAATAGGAATATGTGTGATTTTAAAATGCTTCATGTTATTTTAATGTTTGATCTAAGAAGTAGGAAAATGTTGCTGAATGTGGTGAATAATATCTGGAACACTGGGCCCAGAAAGTCATCTAATCTAATCTCAGTTTTCTCATTTATTCAAGAAAATAATAAAAAAAAACTGAAGACAAAGGAACTAAAAAGTTTTCTCACATCTACCTTCCTGCAGCTTAAATGGCCAAACATAACCTCTTACCCCATAAACACTGTTTTTTCCCAGTGCAGCTCCATTTCCTTCTATCACTTTCTGTATTCCAAATGAACATGCTGCATATCGACCTTTATGCTTTAATATTATTTTAATTTTTTTAATCCTTTGCCTATTATCAACTAAGAAGAACATACAAGGGGCTGAGGATTTAGCTCAGCGGCATAAGCGCCTGCCTTGTAAGTGTGTGATTGTGAGTTCGATCCCTGGTACCAATAAAAAAGAAAAAGACAAAAAAAAAAAAAAAAAAAGAAGAAGAAGAAGAAGAGCATACAAAAATGCTGAGCTTCAAATTCAAAGGATATTACTTCTTTTATTCTCATTAAACATACTTTAAGTTCTTGGAAGCATTCTTAAAGGAGGTAAAATTTTCCCAAATATGATGTACCCAAAGTAACTCCTTGGGGATAGGTTCAGCGCCTACAGCCCAAGTGAGAGTTAGGCAGCTCACCGTCATAACTGTTCAAGTGAAATTTCAGTGGAATGATGGTCTCGTGGTGCTTTGACGACTAGCAAAGATTCAGATCAAAGACAGCTGAATTGTCTTGTACTTTCTTTAGCTCTTCTGTTATCTAACAAATTAAAACCAAGGGCATGCCACTGTAAATTACTCTACTCCAATGGCTGTTGTGATTTTTTGCTAGGGAACTGCATGCTTCCAATTTTCAAGTCTCTCAGACATGGAATATTGTGACCCATGGGAGATGCACCAGCTTGCTCAGGCTCCTCACAATGCCATTTAACACCCTAACCTAAACCAATAATTTCCCCAGGTAGAAGTTTGGTAAACAAAAATGAGACATATCCTACAGGCTGAAGAGGGCTGATATTACTTCCAAAAGAATATAATCTCCTCTTAAGCATTAGATAAAACCATATTTTTAAACCCTATGTTAGGTTTCCAATCAGTATTTTTATAAAAATAAAGACACTCTTGTGAAGTGTATTTCCCAGTGAGAGCACCAGACTTTTCTAAACTGTTTAGCTACTGTGTTAAAGAGAATAGAAGCAGAGATGCACTGGTCTTATTCTGAATAATAAATTAACGAATAAGCTACAAGCTTGAAAAATGAGGTGTCCACAATCCCAGCTCTTCTTTGTTGACTGATCAGTGTCATCTACATGCTGTCGCTCTCTGAGAGGAGGAGGGGACAGAAATCAACAACCCTAACTTCAGTTGCACCTGCTGGAAACGTGGTGCATTGGAAATGTTCACCTTTTCTCAGTTGCTTTCCCAGAGTAGAAAAGATTCAAATGGATCTGAAGCAAGGAATTGTGGTTCGAGTCTTAGGTATAGACCAAACTTCTTCAGGTGCCCAAGTGAGGAAATGTTTTCTGGAATTCCTCAAAGATAAGATTTACCTGTAAAGTATTGAGATTTTCTCTTGTGTAAACTGAAATAGACGAGATAAACCAAGGGAAGAAAATCAAAGTTTGAAAAATCCTAGGCTCTCTCTTTTACCTTTGGAAAATATCTTGGTATTTTAATTTTCTTGTTTTTGTTTCAATATTATTATCCTCACATATACTAGTGAATAATATATTCATTTACTAGCAGCTAACAAATATTTTCAGAGAACAGTGAATATGCCAGCTCCTGGTCTAAGTGCTATTCGAGCTGAACAGAAAGTAATAGTAATAATAATGATCAATGGCCAATAAAAATGATAATAAGCCAGCATCCCAAAAGCAGATTTGTCAGCAACTCGATTAACCAAAATCTGCTAGAATTTGTTTCATTATTATTCTTTGAAAATAAAGTGGGATTTGACCAAGATGTGAAGGTTATCAGCAATTCAAAGACCCTAAGTAATGAGATTCTGTTTTTTTTCTATTGTTACTGTCTTGAGGTTGATCACAATCAATCCAATATTACATGCCTCAGCCACAGTGAAATGACTCCCAGATGTCCCAAATACAGACAGGGAAGAGCTCAAAGCATCTGAAGCACATTGATCCACCTCAATATTTGGTGGTCAATGAGTAGACTGCTGCCCTATAGAAAACTCTTCATCCACGACCTTTAATCAGCAATGTTAAAGTAGAATGATGATCTGTGTGATCCTGGATTACACAGAAAGCTTGGTCAATCAGAAGTTACAGCTTCCATAGAGGAAAGACACTTAAAGAATTGCTACCGCACATGGGATCTGGTGGATGCCACAGGAATGCTGGCTGACCATAACGCTTATGCTGTCGTGCTGATATGGATGAGGAAGTGGAAGAAACAGCAAGTAAAAATACAAATTGTAAGTTATACACACACTACTACACCTTCTACACTAGCAAACTGCTAAGAGATCACACTGAGCATTTGTTGAATTCCAACTATTAAAGGCATCATGCTATGGTGAGCTCCCAACTCACCAATAAGAACACACTGTAGGGGGCTGGGGATTTAGCTCAGCGGCATAAGCGCCTGTCTTGCAAGCTCACAGTCATGAGTTCGATCCTTGGTACTGATTTAAAAAAAAAAAAGAAGAAGAACACACTGTAACCATCACACCCTGGTTCATTTCCGTGATCTTAGTGGCTTCTCTCAATTATTGTTCAGTTCATAATGAATGCTACTCAGTGCTCTCCAAATGAATCATATTAAGTACTTTTCAGTTTAACAGGTTGTATTTTGAAAATCCTACCAATTTGATTAGAGCCACTTCATCTTCATAGTTAGAAACATTAAATGTAGACATTTATTTGCTTTGCTAATTAAAGCTAAACTTCAGATTGCCCTTCTATCAGCCCCTGGTTCAGTAAATTCCCTTTCTGCAAAGATCTAATTTAAGCATTACCAAGAAAAGCAACTGACTAGCGATTTAACGTGTCACTTGGCATGTCAATTTAATATCATTTTTCACTGTGGCATCAACAACAGGAACAGAAGTATGAATCAGTGTACCCCTCTTTTCTGTATATTGTAGTATGCACATTTAATATTTTCAAATAGCATAGTAAAAGTCATTGAAAATTATATGATAAAATTGTCTTACCTTCTCAAATTCCCAGAGACTTGTTTCTAAAAAGATCAGGTTCAGGTTCTCACAGAAGAGTCTCAGCCAAGACACCCTTGTGTTGCTGGTCTGAGCACTTCCCTGATGGTGCAGGAATTTAAACCCTGCCATAGCTCTTCAGAGCCAATCAGCCTTCGCCAGGGGCTGACTGACATCACAGGTGTCCCTGGGACCCCGTACACCCACACTTCCTCCAGCTGGCAGGGCCAGGTTTTCCCTAAAAAGCTCTTGTGGTTCCCAAATGACTAGACTAGTTTCCATTAAATTGAAGATCTTCCAAAAAGCTTTATTTTGATTGCTAAATATATGTCATTCACATCACATCCATGGATGATGAACATTATAAAAAATGACAATGTCTTCCGCCCACAAGCAGATCCCAGAAGGATGGGAAAAGGGCAGTCGGGGATGGATGGAGAGGTTCCTGTCAGTGTACACTGCCAGGTAGTACATGAGTGAAGCTTCTAAAACACTAGCTTTTCTTAAACTGTTAGTGTTCAGAATATGAATTTGTGTCTTGTCTTCCTTCTCTTAGCAAACTCTATTATTATGCTCCTTTTCTCAGACTTGCTTTCCCTACACATGCAAAGACCTCAAATTCTTACTAATTTAAAAAAGCACATACTTAATGCTATGGTTACTGAAAATGTTGAAGTTCTTTACTTAACTAATTTTTGTTTTTATCAAAAAATATATATCAATATATCACATATTTATATAATTGCTCTGTTCTGGTTCTGAATTATACTCCCTGGTGGTCTCAAGACCTTGACTGATGTCTGTCTTAGATGAACCTTATAATCTTATATTGGAGAGAATTCTGGGAAGATTTAGGTGGAGGGCATTACAGGACATACATATGTTTTTATCAAAAAATGTATATCAATATATATTTATATCATATATTTACCTATTTCCACCCCCAGATACTGATCACATTTTTGTGACTCTTTGAAATAAGAGTTGGATTAAGTGAAGTCAGTTTTCAGAGCCTGGCTGCCATCCTCAGGATCGTAATTACATGGATAAGACAATGTTTACCAGCAGCCCTCAGGAAGTGGACTGAGGCTGTTATAGGCATCTGGCAGGGGCACTGGCACCTCCCCAGGAGGATGCTGAAGTCACAGTAAGATTACCACCAAACAAACATTTAAAGAATATAAGCCACAGCCTTTTAATTTCCTCAAGAGTAGGAAGATTTGCTTTGTTTGCTGCAATCTTCCCACTACCCTAGTAGCTAGGACAGTTACTGGGTCATAATAAGCACTCAGTAACTACTTTTTGAATGACTGGATGGATTGGTCTGAAAATGAACCGAGTTTTTAGCTTATGTGTGGTACACATATGACTTCCACTCACCTGTCCAAAATGTGTCTGTTCAGAATTTCAGTTCTTACTCCTAACAACCTACATCTAGAAAATGATGGTGTCAAATTTTCCAGGAAATGAATGTCAAATACACGGGTAATTAGCTTAGTCAGTGTGAACAGTGGACTCACATTGGGGAAGGAGGCAGAAAACGAGAGGCCCGGAGTCCGTTTTCAGACAGGGGTCATTAGAAGGCCACAGCTCATATGGGGAAGCTGTAAATGTCCTCTGCTCTGTGCTGGTTCTGAATTACACCGCCTGATGGTCTCTAGACCTTGACTGATGTCTGTCTTAGATGAACCCCATAATCTTATGTTGGAGTGAATTCTGGGAAGATTTGGGTGGAGAGCATTACAGTACATTGTTTGAGACCTCTGCAAATTCCCACACAAAAACAGGAGCATTTAGACAACAAACTTTAAAACTACGGACAGCATTTATAACTAGGTGTTTTACTTACCTTGTGTCTTAGTACATGCATGCAGTTATATGAAAAACCACGTGGGTACCTTGTATCATGAAACAGTGAGCTTGTGTAAGTTTCTCACAGGAGAATCTGAAGTCACCTGGGCCACACTGGCGGGGACACGCCCAATGGTTCCCTCGCAGGGCTGTCAGAAGCTCAGCAGGGTCTGGTACTCTGGGCACTTCATTTCTTTACAGGGCCTCGGCTTAATACTCAGCCTTCTTACAAAATGGTGACTGGGTCCAAGGACTCCCCAGATTGTCACCCTCTCCATATTCTATCGGCCAGTTAGTCAGTGGGTCCCCCAGATTTAGAAGAGGAAATCGTCTTCACCTCTCAGTGTGAGAGTTGGTGTGCATTATAGAGAGCAGGAGAAATGCCGAGGTCATGTTTGGAGATTAGTTAAATTCACCCAGCGTGTCCATTACATGCATAAACCCCAGACAACTGCTACAAGACCGCCAATATCTGTGGGGGAGAAGCAGAGTGAAGGAATGGATAGCTGATGGGTCCGAAGACAAGAGAACCCCAACGTGGCCAGTGGGCGCTGCTGGTCTGTATCAGTGGCACATGCTGATGTCTGAGGGACCTGGAGTAGACGGGCTTCTGTGCAGTCACAAAGCTAACCCTGCACAGGCCTGCCTTCCAGGACAGGTGCACAGAGAGGACCAGCTCTGGGAGTAGGATGACAATAGGGTAGGCACAAGTAAGGGTGACAGAAGAGCAAGCACCCAGGAGATCTTCAGAAGAGAGCTGTTGTACTTTTAATACAGCATGAAAACAGTGGAAGGAAAAGATATGAGACACCAGGAAGCTGTGCTGAACTGTGAGCTCCCAACACTACAGGAAACCCAGTTTCATATAAAGCAGAACAAAAGCAAACAAAGCAAAATAAAACACTGAAGAGTCTCATGGAAGCAGAATAATAGTCTGATAGACAACAAAAGATATAATTAAAGGATAAATTAAAAGCATACTCAGAAATGAAGTATAAAAAATCAGGAAAAATGATGAAATAAAAGGAAAAGTGATTGTGGAAAATAAAGCACAGGAGGGAATAATTATTACAAATAATTTTTTAAGAAAAGTAGAAGTCAAAAGGAATTTTTTTCACTTTTTGTTTGATGTTCCTATAGAAGCAGAGATTGAACCCAGCACCTTTGCACTATGGTACTTACACAATCATTTGTGTTTTAATTTTTCATTCTGAAACAGGGTCTTGCTAAGTTACTAAGTTGTCCAGGCTGGGCTCAAACTTGTGATCCTGCTGCCTCAGAGTGGTAGGATTACAGGCATGTACTACTACGTAGCACAATGCAGAAAGAAAAAGTATTCAGGAGAAACGGAAATATATTCAAAATAGGTCAACAACACCCAGTTTACACATGATAGTAGTCTGGAAGGAGACAATAAAGGTAAAGGAACAGCAGAAACACTAACAACAACCATCCCAGAAACAGCCAAGCCCTCCCTGTAAGCTGGCACCACCTGTGGGCCACTGCGAGAAGACCCAGACAGCAGCCTTTCCCTGTGAGTCAGAGCCAACCCTTCCCCCCACCCCTCCTGTAAGCAACTGGCTGATCTGGAGAAACACAGGCTGAGATGATAGCTACTGAGGTAAAACACAACTTAATGCTTGTAGTGTTTAGTGTTTCACTGACTTTGCCGGCCCAAAGCCAGTGGTCTGATAATCTATTCAGAGGATAACAGTATGCAGTGTAGCTTTTAGGGGCGATCTCCTTCTGAAGGTGGTGGCCATTGTTGATTCCCTATTGTCTTATTTTAAAGTCCTGTATCATTTTCATTGTTTTGTTGGGTTGGGCTTTACTCTGTTTTGTCTTGTTTGTTTTTATTATATCCGATGGCAAGGGCAGCTATTTCAAAGAAAACAAGATGGACTTCTAGAAGAACATGGCAGATAGATAGCAGCAGGAGGCTCTCTGAGATACCCCGCTTAGAATCCAGAAGTGGTGTGATACGAGGAGTCCTAAGCAAGGGGAGATACACCCTGCCAACCCAGGAATGAATTAAGCTAAGAGAAACCAACTGGAAATCCAATCCTGGTGCTATAACAGGAACAGATAAAATCTCAGCATGGAAGCTAAAACCCGTGCCACTGTTTGAATTTGCTGCTACTGCTGCTGCCTCCAAATCTGCAGGGCAGGGAGAGAGACACATGAAAGCTCTGAGAGCAGGAATCTGTGAAATGAGTGGAGAGCGGGACTAGCAGGGAGCTCTACATTGACTTGCGGTGAGTGAGCAGAACAGGGACCCTTTCATAGAGTAGGAGGCTCCAGCAAAGGACATACTGGGACCAGGCAGATATGCCAGAACAAGGCACTGCAGTGACATTAGTCGCATATTCCCCTCTCAAGCAGGATTGGTGGGGAGTGCCTGGCCTGCGTAACCCAGTAGGCTTGCCTAAACGAGGTCCCAGCACCTGGAGGTGCACCCTAGCGGTGAAGCCTTCGGTAGGTTGACCTAGAGGGGTGGGCCCAGCAGAGGCTGCCCAGGTCTGTGTCTCCCTAGTACACTGCAGTGGGTGGGAACACCTAGCCGGTGCAATTCAAACAAACTGTAACCGAAAAAGAGAAAAAAAAAAATGGGCCTCCTACATTCACTTGTATGGAAGGAACAAAATGACAGAAAAAGAGCTCAACAGAAATGAGGAGGCAGAGAATATTGGATGGCAGGAACAGCTATTTTGGAGAAAACAAGACATCATAATAGCTAGTGCTGATTTAGTATCATCTTGCTTTGAAGTCCCATCAAGCTTTTATTCTTCTGTCTCCATCGGTCTTAACAGGTTGTATCTTATTGGATTTTATTATATGTGATAATATAAACAAAAACTTTTATAGACAAGGAGATTATACAGAAACCATTGTTCATTTTCTGATAGTTGGCTCTAAATACCCTGTAATACTGTCATTCTCTTGAATGATTTTACATTATCTTGATATGTTTGGTGCTATAGTATACGAAGTTATACTCAAAGGATTTCAAGGAAAGAGACACTATGGTAACTACTTTTATGTCAGGATATCTTGTGGTGAAACATTATTTTGCTTAAATGGTTATGCTTTGACCTGTGCTGTTTTGTTGTTATGCCCTCTTTTATCTCAGTCTCCTTTTTTTTCTAATTATTTACCTTTTATTTTTTTCTTTTTAATTAAGGGAAAAATTAAAAAATGGAAGGATACATTATAGTAACCCACTTT